TTTCTCCTTCGTGAACACGATAAGCGCGCCATGGAGCTGCGACGACAGTACGTCTTCAAGCTGATTCCAATGCTGAATCCGGATGGTGTTGTTTTGGGCCACTATCGGACAGATACCAGAGGCGTTAACCTAAATCGAGTCTACTTGGCGCCGAACTATCTTCAGTACCCTTCTATCTACGCGGTCAAAGCCCTCATCGCCTATCACCACCTCTTTTATGGCGAAAAGATGGCCTACCCAGGTTCGATATCACCCGAAAAATTTGAGAAATTCGTAATGCTGTCCAAGAAGTGCCGACAAATCCTGAATGAACCAGAAAAATTCGGTTTGCCGAAAGTAACCACGAGACCAAAACCACGGTATGAGGAGCCTGTGTGCACGTCGGGCGACGTTCAAAGTGAGGGCCACGAATTGCCCAAGCTTTATTCTCCAGAAGTGGAACGTTTCAACAGCGCAGAGCCCTGCAAAAAGGACGTACATCGACCTTCACGGTACTCATGCTGTCAAAATCAAATACAACTGGACGGCCCCAAGTCGGTAACTCCTCGTAACTTCCACTTCTCTTCTATGGTTACTCTTTGAAGGCACACGCCGGTACTCGGGTAAAACTGCACCCAAATTGAGTGTTTTTAAATTCAGAAATTCTTACTTCAACTGTAAATGCAAAACTGGTAGACTCGAATATCCACCAGGTCGATTTTGGCTGTTGACAGTCCATTTTTAGGTTAGGCTCTCTGCCAGCGCGTACGAATGTCCAAACTTGCATCGATGGAAATCGGCTTAAGTGTTTTCAGTGGCAATCAGTGTTTGTCATTTCGCTGTGGATTTTTTTCTTAACATGGATTTTGCCGCTTTTATACTCTGTGACAAGGACCTAACCGTTAAATCTGTCAGAAAGTGTTATGATTGGCTGCGTATGCGTAGGAGGCATTTCATATTGCGAGCATTTGGACGCACACTTAAACATCTTAAGCGTACATCTGTGTTAACGTCGTCTAATGACGTGCCCTTCTATCGTTAGATTACGAGCTTCATTCGCAGTAGTAGCTGTAAACTCACCTAAGTCTCAGAACCTAGATCGGCGTTTGGGGTCCAAAGGAAGGCAGGTGAATATACACACTTCCAGTTAACATTCAAGACGTGGATGCTTTGAGTTTGTGATCCATATAAATAGGTAAATTATATCTCGATTCCATCACTAATAAGATCGCAAATTGGAATCTCATTGCTAGGCCATGGCAACCACTTTCCAAGTCGGGAATCTTCTACAAACGTAAGCCCATTTCACTCGAAGTCTAGGTAATTTGCCGCATAGAGGTCTCATCCAGTAGGTCGTTATATGGATTTTCTTAATAATAGCACTAAGGCCTTTAGAGGTACAACTTCTTCGCAGGGTCCAAGTCTTATTATTTGCCACACGAGTAATCATACTTTCAAATTAACTTAACAGTGGCAATGTTGTTAACGAATTGATCGAGTTAGGTGAACTATCGAGTGATTATACGAACTTTGGCTAGACATGTATTACAACCGTACCATTTGTAGGACTGTCCTATTACCAGTTACGTAACTGTCCCTAGACGGCCAATGGCATACATTCCGCTTGAGCTGTCACTTGAATTGGCCGTTGTAGTGTTTTTTATGTGATATCTAGAAATCAGCCGATTTGCCAAGAAAGCACTTGAGCTTTCTGGGACGAATGAGTTTAATGTCTCACTGGCATAAATTTCCTCGTTCTCTCGCGTCAATTTTCGATGACTGGATGAGCGCAGGACTTTGTATTCAATCGTAGGCGGGTGTTGTACCTGTCTTGCTATCATCTCAACCGAAAGAGAGGAGAGTGAAGAGTGAGGAGAATGAAGTCACGATAAAGCCAGAGTGGTAGGAAGAGTATATTCTATACAGAATAAATGAAAGAATAGGCAGTCAGAAATTGTCTTTCAGACGACCGCACAACTGAAAGCCAGCGGATGGCGTCTGAAGCGATGTCTGCTCGGCAGTCGTCACATGAGGTTCTGCGTGAGTCGGCCTGTGATTGGCTGGTCCAGAGGCCGGAAGCCGCAAGTGTTCACAAAATGCACCTCGAATTAAGCTAGTCACGACAAGCGTTCACAAGTGCACTTCGTGGGGAGCTAGTGACTACAAGTGTTTCAATTAACCTTTATCCACAAACATAAATTACGACGAGAAGAAGAGTTCATGCATAATCCACAGGATAGGTTAAAGCAATCAAAGACCAACGGTGGCAGACCGCCGCACTAATGTACTTACTGAACGCTGAGAGTGAACGCCAAGGTGAAATAGAACTGAGCTCTTCTTGGTGGCTACTTCCACTACCGGCAGTTTACCCAGGTCTTGTTAGATCTGGTGCTAATAACGTGTGCTATGTGTAATTATCGGACTCTTCAACTTACTTTACGTCTGAGACGATTTTCTGGGCTATTCTTTCAGTTTGTTAAAGTAGCGAGGAAAATTTCCAAAAAATGCTAGACGATATCAGGACGTTCGTTAACGCCAATGAGGTCACTCCGCACTATGTTGACTCTTAAACTTTCTCATTATCTACCTCTAGACCCGCGACGACTGCATTAATGGCCCTCGCATACAAACGAGGGAGGCGCGCTACTTGGAATCGCCAGTGATCCGCCACCCGGTCGAGCATTCCCAGACCACCACCTCCTCACTCAAAGGCAAGATCATGAGGCAGTATTTCAGTGAACAGGACTGGGTATCCGTCTTTCTAGACGAAAACCAGCCGCCAAATACCTCTGGCTCTAGGCAAAGTGAACTTGCCCTGCGGTTGCCCAGGAACATCTCCTCAGCTACCACAATTCCGCAATGTCAATCAGTAGAGGTGTCACTTAGTTCTATGCGTAGGACCTCTGAGGAGGAGGAAGAGGTCCGTCTTCTGACATCGGAAACCTCAAAATCATCGCTGAAAGTGAGTGCATTTGAGGCTCCGTCGTATGGAATAGTACCCCGACGAACACCGAAACCAACTTCCCAGCAAGTGGATGACAGTGCTGTCAAAAGGGGGCGCGCTGGAAGCGCAATGCAATTTCCAGATGTCGCACCTCAAGTACTTACTAGAAGAAGGTTTGTTGTATAACAATTACGAATACTGTCACTCAAGATATATTTTCATCTGATGAAATGTAGTGTTGCGCGAAATCAACGCATGCGCCGTCCTCCCAAGTTTAACAGCAGTAAATTAAGTACTATAAGTAGAAAGGACATCGATTGGTTGATAAATTATCATGTACGAACATAAAAGTAGATAATTTTCACTAAAAACTCGAAATTCAGACAATGGGTTTATTACATGTCGCTGAACTAACGTTAAATTTAAAGGCGTTTAAGGCAGGAGAGTGCAAAAACCGGTAACTTAATACTGTTCACCTGTGACTTGTCTGATTAAACAGTTGTGGGAAAGCAACGTTTTGATTCCCAGAAAAAAATCCGGTACTGAATGCCTTTGAGCCTTCTACATATTCTCAGCGAATTTATTATTTCGCGAGCCCATCTTAAGTACATTGGAGCTTTGGGTGACGAGCAGCCCCATATACGAGCATTTCAGCCACTCGCAGGAAATGTGTTTCGATTGACGAGCTTCGGCTCAGTTAACTAATTGTTAGTGCGTGCGTGTGCCTGTGCCCAGAGTTAAATTTTGCTCGCAGGGCGTGCGTCCCCGGTCGCCTGCAGCCAATCAGTTAACTGATGCAGTCTGATTGGCTACATTTCGCGAGACGAGCGTTTCACATGACATGCTTGGTGCCCGAACGGATTAAACTCGTAAACCGAGGTCCCATTATACTAATGTTTTGTATCCACTCCTGAAGTAAACACCTATGAACTATCGCCACTTTCACTGGCAACTTAAATTCCGTCGCCTGTTCATTGGCTGTGTGTGCTCCCTTTAACAGTTCAGATCGACGACTCCCGACGCCTCTGTTGAATCGCAATAACTGTGCCTTCAAGGAAGAAGATAGTTTCGGCCTCGCACGCCACTCAGCGCTCTCCTCTGGACGTGAATCTGAAAACGTATCCCCTGAGCTAAAGATGCTGATTGCACACCAAAAGCGGCGCCAGTCGAAACTCTCCCAAAGTCAGGAAGATCTTGGTAAATGTCCAACTTATCCTGTAAAAATATCCCCCGCATATTGGACAGTCAGATTTTTTGAAGTTATAGATAGTGATTAGTACCGCCCTCTTTGGTTGACATTGCCGTTTTCGCGTGATAATTTTCGTAGACCGCTTTGGACGTTCCCCACACAATATGAGCAAAGCCAGAACGGCACTGAAAATAAACTGAAAACATACATTACCTAAGTACTCATTCGTGTTCCTTGTGCAGTTTGCGTGGGTGACTGGAATTCAGTTGAGAATATATTCCCAACTCATCAGCTTAAAATATAATCCAAGTAATCCCTTCCAGCCGAATGAATCGAGAAAAATCGCTCAGCGTTTATGGCTTTTTTGTGTGTAGTCTATGATGTCTTGTGTAAACACAACAGTTAAATTTAAGTTAGCAGCAGTTTTCGGCAAAAGTAGCTCGTGTAGGCCCACCTGGATTTTTAAAACCTGAGTTTTCTGTCTTACGGGGCTGGTGGGATCGGGGGTTTTATGGGTGGGGAAAAGGGATGGACGACAAAGGGCCTTTGTAAAAGTAAGTACAAAAAGTCGTTAAATTTTGTTGAAAAAGTTAAATGCGGCAGCAATATAGCGACGGCGTTGGGCGCGTAAATAGAAAAAAGTGCGAAAAACAAATCGACATCGCATCGACCTCGAATCGACGTTAACAAACCTGGAATGTGGAGTTTTATTCCGAAAATTCCCTTTTTCCCATAACCCAGTAGTGATAAACGTTTTGAAATCTTTCTGTAATACAGTAGTCGCCGGCTATTAAGCCCACCTCGGGCCCAGACCAAAT